GCAGACTTGCTGGTTAAACAATAGCTATTATCATGATTTCTTTTATTTAATTATACAAACCTTTATAACTTTTAATTTTTTTTTAGTATTAAGATGACCTCTTTGGTCTTTTGACTTTTATTAGTCACTTATAAGTATTGTGGTTTAATAAACTATTACAGAAGAGTATACAATTGGCTATATGTGTAACTTTTCTATATTACCTATTTAAGAAGTTTGCCCAAAGCTTTTCTACCAATTGCTGTATTTAACACTCCTGCTTGGATGTTTTACTTTAAATCCTCTGAACCTGTAATCTGTATTAACTCACTGGGTTATACTCAGATGTTCAGATTATTATCTTAACCTTAGGACTAATTTATCCTTGAGGTAAACTTCTTAAAGCCTTCTGTACCTATTTTTACAGCTGATCTAGGTATCACTATGACAGAACTAACACTTGTGGTCAAGGCTAACTATTAAACTGCTATGTCCTTGTAGAGTTTACTTAGACCTCAGCATCTACTTCATAGCATAACCCTGATACTTTAGTATATTTTGCCTTTTTCTCTGTCTTTTTACCAAACTCCCAATTTAGATAGCTTATGTAGGACTATGACCAGTCTATTAGTATATCAGATCAGCCTGATATTCTTTTTTTTTGGTTCATTCTGATGGTTTGGTTGATAGTATCTTCAAAATTCCCAACCTAGAGGTTCTTGCCTATTCGACTACTATGACCAGATACTAGACCTTGGTATCTGTTTCCTTAGGCTAGCCTTTACAGTAAGGCCATTAAAGATCCAACTACCTCTCTACTTAGATTTTCCCAAATGAACTTTTTGTTATCCAATTTCAACAGATTTACATAACTACAAGGACTTATCTAGTGTTTGTACTATCTGATTTGTCAGTTTGCATTCTTTTGTATAACTTTAACATTGCACAGATGCCCTATGACCTGCCAGTCATGCTAATGCAACTGCTATTACAGGTATTTTAATCCAATTGTTAGTAACAGTTGCTGTAATATGAATATTACATAGATGATTATTCAAATTTTTACTATTAATAAGATTTGAACACCCAACCTATCACTTGAGAGGTTAACAACCTAACCACTTTACTAGGTCATTATGCCTCTATAACTTTTATTATATTCTTCAATAAAAATAATATTATATAGAACTTCTTACAAGATACTTTATTAAGCAAATCTGTAAAGTCACATCTTAGCTATATGGGTATCACAAAAATGCAATAATAAATAGTTATACTTCAATTAAGTTATTAAATAAAAATTCACTTGGCTTTATTTTGATTATAACCAAACCTTCATATAATATTACTAATTTTAGACTTAACCAACTAAAATTATTTAAAATCCAAATTTTTTTTAATGAGTTGCAAACTTATTTATTATTTTACATTATTTATCCAAATCAATATTCAGATACTATCTGCTTTTATTGTAACTTATTTAACTTCTATTTTTATTGTTATACTTGTGCTAATCCAATTTTGCTTAATCAAATCATTTAAATCTTTATTAATCAAATTATTTCTAATTACTTAACTAATTTTGATACTTATCAAAAATATGACCTAATTAATAAAATTCTTTATTATTTAGCTTTTAATTTTCTATATATACTGTTTAACACATTTTATCTTAACTTTATTCTCAGAAAACTTATCTCAAAGTCACTTATATCAATAATTCAAAACTCTGAAATTTTATACAAAATTGCTTTCTAAATTATTATTATTATTTTTTTTTTTGCTTTGACAGTCTTGCCAATACTCTTTATTAAGATTTATATTTATATATTAACAAACATTTTTAGACATAATGTGCTAAGTTCACATCTTGCAATTACTTCTATAAACACTTACAAGTGATCAGCCACACCAGTTGTCTAAATTCCTAAAAAAAAAGAGGATCTGAAGGGCTTATCTAACCACCACCTTACAATAGAGTATTACCAATCTGATAATACTTTTTCATAGAGAAGTGAAAGAAAAAAAAAAACTACTAAACTAAACTAAAAAGAATTACAGAAAGAAAAAAGAAAAGAAAAAAAGTGTTGGGGAGCATACCTTATTTGTAATCATTTAGGATATTAGCACTTTAAATCTGTGCTAAAGATCTAACTACACTTTAACCTATGCTAAAGGGATAAAAATTTTATATATATAATTTTAAGAATTACTATATATTTCTAATTTGCTATAATTTTCCAACTTAAATCCTTCTTTGTTTCTTTATTACACCATATATTAGGCTGTATATATAATTGTTGTATTCCTATTATATTATGTCATAACACATAACTGTCTGAAAAAAGAAGTAGTAAACAATGCTGATTTTTTGTAAAAGGGAGCCAAATTCTCCACTTTTGAGTAAGAAAAACAAAACAGATAGAAAAGATTGACAAATATGATATGTGAAAAGCCAAACCAAGAAGAGTATTTTTAGTTATTTATTTGTTTTTAAGCTTTTGATAACTTTTAATCAGAGTTTTTCTCTATTGTTTTCAAAATGTCTTTCTGGTTTGGATACTAAACATGTTAGAAAGTTTACTAATAGACAAGGCTTAACCTCAACACAAACCATCAAAAGAGTTACCTACATCTTGGTTTTTTCATGTACTTCTAGTTTATTAGTAACAATTTACTTTATATATCTAAACAGAATCAAAGATATCATCATCTTAAAAGCATAACTCTTCAAACTGTTTTAGTGCTAGTTTGGTTTAAATAATCATCAGAAAGAGTTGTTGATTTTGGCTTCCTAAATTATTATTAATATTCTTCTTTATATTAATAAATAATTATATAAGCAATTATAAAAAACATATTGCATTCATTTTTTTAATTAAAAAAAGCAACAAAATAGACTTTAATCCCAAACTATTAACAAATTTTCAACATTATCTAATCTACAGTAATTACTAAATATATATATTTTCAAAAAAACTATACTTATTCATATTTTTGTAAACTTCCTAATTAATCATATACTTATTTTAACATATGCTCTTCTATTGGCCAAGCAATTTGCAAAATTAATATTTAATCTATTTTATAAATCAAATATAGTATATCATTAAATTATATACTAAACATTTAAATTTAAATAAGTTTTGACCATTCTAGTAAGTTTAAATTACAGATAAATTAGTTTAAGCTTTTATTCTTATATGTAATTTTTAATTTATTTGTTTTGTACAAATAATAATAATTGTATAGTTAGCAATTTAATAATTAGCTCTAATTGCAAGTATTAATCCCAATCATAGCATATATATATGTAATTATTTTAAATTATTAATAAATATATAAACAAGGTCTTACCTTAATACTAAAAAAAACAAACAAATATTTAAATATAAAATATAACAATTTAGTGAAATAAACAAATTATCAACTTCTAAGTGACAAGTTTAGAACTCAAATTTCACAGATAATGAATTTTAGAAATTATATTTGTATTATAGTAACTAACTTTGCCAATTAGTTGAATTGGCATATCTATATTCTTTAGTTATATTATCTCAAATAAAAGCTTAAAATATCTATATAAAATGTAGAATCATCAGAAAAAAAAAGATATAAGTATATTATACTGAACTAAAAATTTGAAAAATTTTGTTAATTTTAAGTTGTAATTAATAAAAAATATTAAAGAAAATATTAAAAAAATAAGTGTCAAAGTTTAAGTAAATTTTACAAAAATATAATAATTTAATAATAAATTCTGATTGCAAGTGTTAATTTAGACCAAAATAATACTAAATCAGTTGTAAGTATAAAATATAAAAGGCTTCGATAGTTTTAGTACAAAGTTAAATATAACTTAGTAATTATAATATATCTTTACTAGTTTACTAAAATTATTAATAAGATAGAATAGATACAGAATCTAAAGTGTTTAAATAAAAAACTTACAAATAAATTCTATATATGACAACTAGTATAAAACCTTCAAGCAGACTATTTAAATTAAACAATAACTAAAATTATACAAGTGACTAGTTGTACACTTTTTCTATAATTGCTTTTATAATTGTTATATAACAGTTGCTAGCCAAAATATACTATTAATAAAATTCTAAGTTACAAGTACTTAACTTAATATTAAAAAAAAAAACAAATATTTAAATATTATTTGTATAATTAAATAAACTATAAAAATATAACTAAACAAGTATTATATATATATATACATAATGTATACTATAAAAACTTTTAAAAAACCTAATAAACTGCATTAACATTGTTATTAAAAAATTAAAAAAAACCTATTTAAAAACTCTTATTTTACAAACTTTATAATCTAAAAAAAAATTGCAATTAAATTTATTTATAATTTTAAAATATTGTACTCTACTCTTAAAGCCAGGTTTACATATAATCTACAAATTGTATAAATATATTTTTATAAAACAATAATTCTAATTATATTAAAAAATAATCCTAACTAAACCTGACTTTAACGTTTTTTTTCGAAATAGGTTGAACATAAAGTAAAAACCAATTTTCAAACCCAAACCGAGTATATAATAATGTAATTTTCTTTTAAAAGAAGGATTAGGTCGCAACCCTAATTCATATATATTAAATATTATATTTATTATGTTTTAATGAATTATAATAATGAATTTTATATAAATAAATTTTAATATTTAAGGCGCAATAATGATAATTTAAATATTAAGACTCGAGTGAAAAACTAAACAGTTCGTTTATGTGACGATTCCAAGCTAATTTACCTACTTTAATAAGAGGCACAAAGTTTCTTCCAACGTTAATAAAATATTGAATTATTCGCTTATTATCAAAATTCACGAATTTCTATTGGCCAAAGACGATATGCAAGGTCGGAACGTTACGGTAACACTAATTTCCTTATTTGGGACGGTCCTCCTGCTAGGCAGTCGTGAGCATTTTTCGGTCTGCACAGAGTATCAGACCACTCACTACCTGTTATGTTTAGTGTTTACCACCTATTATACCACCTAGTGCGCCTCGTTAGAAGAATCCAAAACAATCATCACATCATCTACCGTAGTTAAATCCTCCAAAAATGGTATTAGATCCAACAATTCTGTGTCATGGGGGTCATTAAACCATGATGATATGGGAACAGCATTTGTAGGGTGAAATATATAACTAGCTGGTGAGTTATCAATGATAATTGTATCTCGAAGTTCTCGACCAAGCTGTGATAAATTCTAATGTGATGGATAATATGTTAAAATTAAATGATTGTAAAAATAAACTACGTTGAAATCTGATGCTATTCTCACCTTCACATAATTTCCTTTGTGATTAAAACATGACTCTCTAAACAGTCGATGTTTCACAACTTTATGTTGATCTAACATGTCGAGGACTGGATCTGCGTACTGAATATTTTACATAATAACTCATATAAATATTAATTACTGGAATGAATGTGTTGATCCATTGTATTTAAAAATAATCAATATACCTTTGATAAACTGGCAGTGAACACCACAATCTCGTATATTTCACCCATCTTTTTCAGGAACTGATCGACGCCTGGCCGCTTTATCACATATACATTATGTATTTGATTTTCAATATCCACTGGAACAACAAAATCAGCCTGATGAATTATCTATATTAAAAAAAAAGTAAAATTAATTAATTTAACAATGTATATTAACAATTGCTATAATTAAATAAATTCAATATTGTTTTATCACCTTAAAAGAACTATGTACTAATGTTTCATCCAAATCTAAAACTAGGCATTTTCTGCCAAGATGTTCGGGAGCTATAGGCTCGAGCAACCATCTACGTTCAACCTAATATAAAATAATTATAAAATTTCAGTAAATTGATACATTGACATATTAATAGTCAGATGTTAATGCAGGTTTTAAAGAAATTCTCCAATTCATGTTAATGAATCACAAAAAAACGAATAATAATAATAAAATTATTAACCTCATCAACATATTCCTCCTCAGGTTCATGTACCACTGGTTGAACTTCTGCGGGCTTTTCTTGTTCTCCTGTAGATATTGATTGCTTTTTAGAAACACTTTTACCAGTATTTCCGGATGGTATGGTAACGGCAGGAACAGTCGTGGAATTTTCAGCTTTGACACTCTCGTTTGCTATGGCACCGGCACCCCACGCGCAACAAAAAAGCATAGAGAAAAATGAACGTTGCGGCGGACGTTGAGTTGTTCCCGAATTGCTTGTTGTTTTTGGAATTACCGGCGATGGTGGACCTACATTTGCTATTATTATTGAATGAACATATCACTAGTTGAGATGAGATATTTTCAAGGGATTATTTTGTCTGGATGAAAAGACTTATTTCCTATAGCACAGGCGTCGAATGCAAAAAAAAAAAATTCTTAAGCAGTTACTAATTGGCTATCTTTTTTTCTTTCCTTCTGCCGGTCGCGGAAAAGTAAAGATTTCCCAGTTTCACGAAATTCATATTGAAAGAAATTTCGAAACTTATTTTACTTTTGACGCTATTAAATTGCTCAATTTCAACCGTCTCGACAAAAGCCTATTGCTTTGAACCACGCTACAATCAAGTTAAGACAAACCGAAATCATTACCTTCGGACTTTGTACCGACAAAAAACTTCGACTCCGGGGGTGCCTGTGTTATTATGTTTTGTGGGCCGCTCGATTCCTGCTCAGGACTGACTTGACTACTAATTGGCGTCTGACTCATGTCGAAATTCTTTTTTTTCGGAGTAGTTGTATTATTAATTACAAGGCCAAATAAACGAAGAAATTGTTAATGAAAGCTAAGTACTTCAATTCTTTACGTCATATGCCGCTGTTAAAATCGTCTAATATGGGCATCCAAGGTTAATTATATCTTCATTTTAGGATACACGTGATTTAACATGTTACCAACGGGAACCATATCGATATACTTTCTGTAAATTAGTATTACCTTATTTACCGTAACAGTCACACGATTTGTCACATCTAAAATTTTATCATATGATTTTCATAAATTACACAAGTTGACCATATGGTGACTTCATTCAATATGAATGCCGTCAAATTAAAATCTAAGTTTTTCGTATCGGACTTAACATAAATCATTCACCAAGATGAATTATCCATGGAATTTGATCATCCATTTGTCACCCGACATTTATAGGTTTTAATTTGACAAAAATTCGTTTTTGTCACATATGAATGATTTGATATTTGTTTGATATGTTCGCTAACTAAAAATTTAATATACGAATCATTATCAGATTATTTTATTTGTAAAGCTTTTTTTATTAAAGACGCATTTCAAAATTTAGTCTATATTAAATTAAACACATATTTAATTCACATTATATTTATACATATTTACTTGCTTGACAATTAACTTTTATAAAATTAAGGCTTTCTAACTTGTTTCGAGTAATGTCACTAGGCGAGATTACCTTTTTTCAGTTACGTTAGATAAAACTATTTCAAAAGTTAGATTACTTAGATAACATTATTTGTCTTCTAGTAAAATTATTTAAGGTAATAAAATTTACTATTTAAATACTTAACCTAATTTTGCTTAAACTACAAAATATTTACAGTATAAGATAGTATAAAATATTTAATTTTAATTGATTTTTAAAAATAGTACGTATAATTTAATAAAAATTTTTAATTTGAATATTAGGTCGCACAAATTTAATATATTGATTTTCATAACATAAAACTTTTAAACAGACCCGGCCGGCAGGCTTTTTTTTAAAAAACCCACCTGGTTATTAAACCAAAAAAATTTTTTTACAAGTTTTCAAATTTTGACCTGGCCGGGTTATAAAAATCAATTAATTAATTTTGCATGGCCTTAGTTTTTAAGACTACGTATTGCTAATTTTTTTTTTTTAAGGTGACCTTTTTATTATTAATTTTTATTCTAGGTGATATTACTTAGTTGTATTAAAACCAATTAGATCATCGTATCTTGTAAAACTAAAACAAAGTAAAAAAACAAATAACTCAAATAACTCAAGATTTTATTATAAAAACCATGTTTTGACTTCTAAGTAAAAGTTTTTAGTATAATGCAAGACATCTATAACTCAACAGTTATATGAAGTGTTACAATTTTTCAAATGATTATAATTTTTTATCTAAGAAGTTTTTAAAAATTCTGACCAGTAATTTTATAGAGTTACATTAGCTTTACATGTGTGTCAAATATTATTTCAAAATCTCATTACTGTAAAAAGTTTTAGTAATTTGAAAATTGAAATTTTATATATAATTTATAAATTTATATATTAAATTTTAATTTTCAAATTGCTAAAACTTTTTACAATGATGAAATTTTGAAACAATATTTGGCATATATGTAGAGTTGATATAGCTTTATAAAGTTATTAATCAGATTTTTTTTTTTAAGATGATTTCTTAAGTTTTTTGATTTTTATTAATATTTTTGGTAATGTGTTTTATATAAAACTACTATAAAAGAGTGTACAATTAGTTATATATGTAACTTTTTTATATTATCTATTTAAAAAGTTTGATTAATAGTTCTTTACCAATTATTATATTTAATATTCTTATTTGGATATTTTCAAAAAGGTATTACAGATTACTAAATGGTTTGTTTATGTTACAATAAAATTTTTTCTCATATATTAATTATTAAAAATTTATCTTATATTAGAATGTGCAAGATGATTTTGTTCTATTTATATTAAAGAAAAAACCTGATTATACATATTTCATTCAAAATCTAGATTAACAAAATACTAATTATAAAAAAAATAGTTTTACAAATTAATAAAAAAAAAACCAGTTTCAATATAAGTTTAAAAGTAATATTATTAAAATAAAATTAACTTTGTGAATACAAATAATAATATTTTTTTGTTGATTTAGTTGTAAATAAAGTTTTAACAACTATTATTTTAAAATTTTTGTTTAATTAGATTATAGTTTTATATTTGAAATTAGATAAATATTTAAGAATTAC